ATAAATGTTATCAGCAAAGACTTTGCCACGTCGCCGCTTACCTTGGCTAATTTAGCCTGCTTCTTGGCTGCCTTTTTGGAGACCGGCTCCTGCCCAGCACTGGCTGAATTCTCCTTGTCCTCAACCATTTCTTGGAATGCAACAAAAGCGGCTGTGAAATAAAAATAACGTATATAGCTTTACAGTTTTCTTGATAAGCAACAGGCGAGAGGGGGCACGCATCCGGCACTCAACTATTGCGTCACGCACATTCATGCAAATAAATACATGCACAAACAGATTCGTTCTATTTATAAAAAGTCTCTAATGTAGCGTGCACCAATTTGCATATGTATTACAATTGCAAACCATTTCTGCCGGTTTCATACTGCAGTTCAGTCACCCCCACGCATTTCCCATTACATATGGAATGGGAGCCACATCCTCTTTGTTTAAGTGCACGGCACACACATAACCTAAACCTACGGCACTTTGAGGACAAGATTAGCCTTTACTGCTTTGCACTTCCTGATTTTGATGGTACTTGCAGTTATGCTTACCAGATAATTCGTAGCCTCTTAATACACAAACGAAAAGATTACACGAGTGTCGGAAGCTATTGCAGCATGCTCGGCCGTTGTGCAGTTGGTATTATTTAGGTGGTTTTTTTCTACTCATATCGATAGTTGGCAATAAAGAATATATATATTCGATATATTTTATTGATATGGCTTGCAAATTTTTGTATAGTTTTTATTTTTGATAAATAAATAAAACCTATGCATACATAAATGTTCAAAATTATTAAATTTGTGCAATAAATATCATGTCTACCTTCGAATTTTTATTCCTAAACAGAGCGTTTTCCAGCTATTGTGCGGTCACCGTACCCAGCTCAATAAAACTTATCGATGCTCTAGTTAATGTTACTGTATCGATATTTCATTCATCACTGAATAGCAGATTTTCCAGAAGAAACACAGTTGAGGCGAAGTTTGTTTTATTTGTTTATAGAGCAATTTGTGTGCGTATTTCACAAGGTATATTTCGTTGTTTTCATCTATTTATAGAACATACATATTTGTTTGATAAACAAAGACAAGACAGGTGTTTGTAGTGTTTTTGGTTGTTCCCCAATTTCGTTCGGGAAGTGGGCTGCCGAGTGAGTCACCAACCAATATATAACATTTAAATTACGCTAAATAGAGGAACTAAAAAAAGAAAACTTCTAGAATAAGTGCATTGGTTCCAGTGGGGTTTTAACTGGTGATTCAAAACTGTATTGTTCTACACACCCTCTTGCATACGTGTATACATATGTATGTATGAGTATACTCGTACATAAATGAAATTTGTATATGCGTACGACTGTGTGAACATCTGCAGCAAGTTCACACGTCATATTTACGTGTTTTTAGGCAGCACAAGCGGAACTGGTTATTAAAAGAAGTGAATTAATTAAACATAATTAAATGCGACAATTCCATTACGATATTAATCCTCTTTTGCAGGTAAACGATTATCTCTAACAGTAAATATCGAGCGACACCAATAACGAAATGCAAGGTGAGTGTTTTTATATGCAAATTAAACTAACGGTTTCTTGGGTCTACTTTGCAGTGAATACTCGTATATAGAGACCCCTTGTCTATAGCTATCTGTAGGAGCGGATCGTTCAGTTCAGTTGAGCTCAGACAGCGACAAAAACAATATCAACAATGTCGTGGCAAAGCGTTCCACAATATCCTCAATATCAAGGTTTAATTTATTTTGCATTTTTTTTTTTGTTTTTGTTAAAAAAATTTGTTGGCTAATTCATATGGTTTTGCTTTCTGTTTCGTACCACCCCTACGCATGCTTCTGTCGAGTCTCTCTGTTCTTGCATATAACACCCATTTAAGTTAGTTTTATTAGTTAACTCAGCGACGCCTTGGTTCGATGGTTTCTTATCTTATCGCAGAGTTTATAAATGAAAGACATACATATAATTCATAACTCAGGAAAACTGTAAACAAGTATCATTTACCATTCATATCTTCACAGAGTAGATAAACTGTATATGAAATATTGAAATCATCTAATTGCATAATACATACAATATTTTCACTTAAAATATTCTATACCTCATTCGGCCCCATACGTCAATGGAAAAACAGCTTAAGATAAGAAATAATATTCTTAAAAAGTTTCTTATCTATCCGCCAGTCAAAGACTTTTAAGATTGAAAAACTAATTTAAAATAACTTACTTATGACTGTACTTTTTACAAAATGAAATCTTAAAGCAATTGCATATGATACGTATACATATCAACCTTACGTATGAGGTTGAATAATATATACTACATATTTGTATAAAAAAATATAAATATGTACAGTCGACTCTCGTTGTTTCAAACCTGCGATTTGTAATTCGTACTCATATGGTGTGTTAGTAAGAACTTTGAACTTGAATTTTAGGTTTATGCGTGTTACGTATAAAACAAAACGAAACTCATGAAACGGCATATCAGATACTTTTTCTCCAGTTTCGAAGCAAACCCGAATAAATGAGTTCTTTTCAAAGAATTATTATTATTATTATGTTATTATTGAACATACATTACGAATATGTAAAATGCCAGCTGTTAAAAATATCCTCGATAATTGATAGTTCGATGTTTTATTTATTTTCTCTCCAACATTTCAAGCATTCGATGATTCGTAATCTTTTAAGAGTCCCTCGAGTTTCGAAATAACGAGAGACGACTGTATTTATTCTTTGTATTTCATATTCATGATGCTGATTAAAGCTGATTCCAAGAATGCATTTTTCTTATTTATCAATTTATTATATATTATTTCTCTGCATAGACTGTTGAATGAAATATCTCATTAGGAACTGACGTCATCTATTAGATGTTTTTACGATTGTTTTGTTCATAAATGAGTGGAGTTCAGTTTTAGAATATTTAATTTTTATAGAGCTCAAAATAGCATGAGCAAATAATTAGCTAATTGAAATGAGATGAATAAGTGATTCCCCATTCACAGATCCGAATCAGCAGTACAACTATGGCGGGTATCCACCACAAGGTGGCTACGGCGGGGGCTACCCACCGCAAGGGCCGCCGCAAGGCGGTTATCCACCCTACGGCCAGGGAGGCGCGCAACCGTATCCGCAAGGACCCTACGGCCAGGGACCTTATGGTCAGGGCCCACCGCCTGGCGGTTATGCTCCACAGCCGGGCTTCATACAACCACCACCTGCAACGGGCTATGGGGCCTACGATGATCCCGAGGGTCAGCCCAAAAACTTCTCGTTTGACGACCAGAGCATCCGACGTGGCTTTATACGCAAGGTTTACATTATTCTAATGGTACGTAGTCTAGTTTATCTCTATTTCATTTCAATTTGACTTAAATTTGTTTTGTATTTGTATTGCAGGGTCAGCTCTTGGTAACCTTTGGAGCAGTAGCCCTGTTTGTCTTTCACAGTGGCACCAGGATGTTTGTCGCCAGGAATCAATGGCTCTTCTGGGTGGCTCTGGCTGTGTTGATTGTGACGATGTTGTGCATGGCTTGCTGCGAGAGTGTTCGTCGTCAGACCCCGACCAACTTTATATTCTTGGGAATATTTACGGTGGCTCAATCATTTCTCTTGGGCGTATCGGCCAGTCGCTATGGACCGACTGAGGTATGAACTGTCTCTCCCATGTCCGTTCAACTCCCCTTTAACGGTTATTGATCTCGCTTGCAGGTGCTTATGGCTGTCGGCATAACGGCTGCTGTTTGTCTGGCCCTCACGCTCTTTGCCATGCAAACCAAGGTGGACTTCACCATGATGGGCGGCATATTGCTGGCCTGCATGGTGGTATTCATGATATTTGGCATCGTGGCCATATTCTTCAAGGGCAAAATCATAACGCTTGTATACGCCTCCTTTGGCGCGCTACTCTTCTCAATCTATCTGATATACGACACTCAGCTGATGATGGGTGGCGATCATAAGTACTCGATTAGCCCCGAGGAATACATATTTGCCGCGCTGAATCTCTACTTGGATGTGGTCAACATTTTCATATACATTCTAACCATTATTGGAGCATCGCGGGACTAGAAGGCGTTAAGGAATTAAACTTCTATTTGGCATACTTGAATTTTATGTTAACAGGCAATATAGGCAAATAGCTTATTAATGTTGCCCTAACAATCAGATATATTTTCAATAACCGCGTAATCTCATAATCAAGTCACAGAAACGAAAGCAAAAGCGTTTCAAAATGAATATTTCAATATGTTTGGTTGCTAAAAACAGTATGTAATTTGTTGCCAACTTTCCTTATAGATTGTATTAATTTTAAGGTGAAATGGATAATTAATTCTTTTGTTGTTGTTGTTATGCTAAGAGAAATGCACATTTGTTTATGTCGTTTCGGTTTCCTTAAATTATTAGCTTCAAAAAACTTATTTAAACATACCTGAAATTGATTATAACGCTCCAAACCAAAAAAAGAAAGAAAAAAGCAAATACCGCATATAAACAATAAATAGTCTTAAACATTTAATAGTTGTTATATATACGTGTATTACTTATATATACATATATATGCAGCGTCGCTTGCAGTTGTTAATCATTATATGAAGAGGAAACTAAAACCAAAAAAAAATTATCCAAAAATTAATTCAATCCAAAACCTCCCGCAAGTATTCTGTAACGACTCTGTGGTAAAGTCAACAATAAAGTGTATCTATTTATTTATTAAAAAAGAAGAAGCAACGAGAAAAACAAGGGTTATCGTCTATGCTGTATGTATGTATGTATGTATATCAACTGTGAGGTCTATGACGGCGCTTTGTGCGACTCTTGTAGGTCTTCCCCACACAGCGTGCTGGGGCGTGGCCGGCAATGCACCAGGGACCAGGCCGAAAGTAAATGCAACAGTTAAGGTGACAGCAGTTCGTAGTCAGCGCTGGATTAGTCAACTTTGTCTGGTTGTTTGTGTCGACCCGGCCCGACACTATCTGTACTATTTAGGTTGTTTTCTTATCTTTCGATAAGTGTGCGAGTAAAGCAAATAAATTTTTAGGAGCTTGCGCTACCCAACATAGTTGCTTAGTTATATTCGGAAGCTAACGGCAGTGCGAGTGTGAATCGGCGAAGAACATCTACATATATCGGGTACATGCCATAAAATGTATCACTACCAGCAAGGCAAGTCAAATCAATTGCACAGAAAGTTCGCGAGATAAGATAATCGGCAAAGCAAAAAAGTATTTTTACTCGAATCGGTTCAGCTGCAAAATGTGCATTTCACTCTCTCGCACTCTCTCTCTCTCTCTCTCTCTCTCTCTCTCTCTCTATATATATACCTGGATTCATTCACATTACAAATATGTCCCACCTGGTGTGAAATAGTGCTCTATGTGCTGGTCCAAGTTGATTGTGTTATCAGAGGTTTTGATAAGACTAGGGCCCAGTGGGTGATTCAGAGGGTCGGTTTACATAATATACCAATCGATTGGTATATATCAAAGAATACACAGGTGTGTCATATGCGAGATATGAGAGTGACGCGTTATCAGTGCCCACCAATACCAAAGATGAGAAAAGGGTAACAAATTCATATACCCTCCATATATATATAGTTTATTTACCATCTGGCTTGCTATCTGCATCTGTGAGTGTGTTTGTAGCTAATCTGCCAGTCCAACTGGCGTATGACCAAGCGAATTGCTGCTCAGGTAATATACATTAGTCGAACGAACCAGACGCGCTCCACGGGAAATTTAGCCATGGGTGATACGCACTTTCAATACGGTTCGATTTTGGATTGATTTCATCTCTTGATCTTGGTACAAGCTCAAACATMTCCCTGTCTCTCTCTCTCTCTCCCTCTGCACAGGTGACAACAATGGCGTCTACGGTGATCCGGAGGCGGACAAAAGTTTTGCATTCGATGACCAGAGCATACGCAAGGGCTTCATACGGAAGGTCTATATGATATTAATGGTAAGCATCAGTCCGCTCCAAAGATCCCCATTTAATGATCCCTCCATTGTATTCCAGGTGCAACTGCTGATCACGTTTGGCTTTGTGAGCATTTTCACCTTCTCGTCAGCTGCACAGGGCTGGGTAGAGCGCAATCCCGCGCTCCTTTGGATAGCACTGGTAGGTCACTCATTTAGAGCAGGGTTGAAGGATTCGCATTGATTGATATCTCCTCCCACAGGCAGTGCTAATTGTCACCATGATCAGCATGGCCTGCTGCGAGAGCGTGCGCCGCAAGACGCCGCTCAACTTCATCTTCCTGTTTCTGTTCACGCTGGCCGAGTCCTTTCTGCTGGGCATGATTGCCGGCCAGTACAAGGCGGAGGAGGTGCTCATGGCCGTGGGCATTACGGCGTCGGTCAGCCTGGGACTGACGATCTTTGCGCTGCAGACGAAATACGATTTCACCATGTGCGGCGGCGTGCTGGTCGCCTGCCTGGTGGTGTTCGTCATCTTCGGCATCGTTGCCATCTGCGTACCGGGCCAGATCATTGGACTGGTCTATGCGTCGCTGGGCGCGCTGCTCTTCTCCGTGTATCTGGTGTACGACACGCAGCTGATGCTGGGCGGCAATCACAAGTATGCGATCAGCCCCGAGGAGTACATCTTCGCCGCGCTCAATCTCTACCTGGACATCATCAACATCTTCATGTACATTCTGACCATCATTGGGCTGGCGCGCAACTAGGCCGGACTAGGCTAGGCTAGGCTAGTCGTTGCTTTATCTAGACTTATTTATTATTTTTTATTACCCCAACTGAGATTACGTGTCGCGGGATCGTTCAAGAAATATATTTACAGCTGACTTTATGCATACCTATTTGCTATTTGCGATTTGCTATTTGCTATTTGCTGTGGTTTTTTGCGACTGCCTGGCCAATTTGTGGTGTTCGGGCCGGTGGTTGGCCGTGCTGCGACCCTGTCTCACGCAGCGGTGTCCAATTAATTAAAACACACGAAAGGCCGTAATGTAATTATGTTCAATTGAGATTGGGAGCCGCGTGGCGGAACTGCAGCCCCTTTGGATTAGCGCTGGCCACAAATCTGTCCACTCGATCAGTTGTGCGCGCATTCAAATCGTGTGTAGATCAGCAGATCAGCAGATCATCATCGGGTGCCATGGATTTCGATGAAGTACTTAAGGAAGTGGGCGCCTTCGGGCTCTATCAGAAGATCATCATATGCTCGGTGCTGCTGCCGGCGGCGCTGCCCTGCGCCTTTCACGCCTACAGGTGGGGCCCAGGTGCTAGCTGCTGATCCCCTGATCGATGCACTCTAATGGCTGTGCAGTCAGTTGTTTATTGCAGCCACGCCCAAGCATTGGTGCCGCATACCCGAACTGGAGCCCTGGACCCAGGACTACCTGCAGCTGGTCAAGAATTTAAGTATTCCCCGGGACAAGCATGGAGCCTACGCTGAGTGCAGCATGTTCGTGCGCAACTACAGTGAAATAGTGCGTGTTTTCAATAATTAACATATGAGTATATACATACACACACGTACACACGTACATACATATAGACATCTATTAGCAATAATCATACTGCTGTGATAAACATTTCGCGTATCAAGAAATTTCTAGAGTCGAAGTGGAGAGCAAAGCAATAATTATTACATATCAGTTAAGTGAAGAAGAGTCTATTTCTAGTTGAGAGTGTCTTATATGTATATCATATAATGCGGAATACGAGTATTCCGTCAATAACTCAGTCGAATGATAATATAATATATTATCTTCAATTTGCAATGGCATATGCCACTTCATAAATTCAAGCTAAAATGCTCAATGAAATGTCTTATAGACTTTATAGGCTTTGGTATAGCTAATTGGCTATGTGTAAATTATTTATAATATACAATTTTATTATTTATCTGTTTGTTTACTTTATTTATTCACTATATTTTTAATTTTGTTGTTGTTTTATTTTCTTCATATA